CGATACAAATCAATTACCCAGGTAACTTATATACTTTAAAGTACTTTTTTAGAACGCAACATTTCACTAACAAAAAATCACTGCAAAAGCCGTTCCTAAATTTGAAATAACTTCAATATTCACTGTGCAAAATAACCTCATTATCTCACTCCTTGTATACTTTGCTTATAAGACAAAATATACCACCATTTATTGGACCACGCGAAATTATACTGTAAAGTAAAGGTAACTGGAAAGGTTTTTTGTTTAAAACTACTTTATTATGTTAGATTTAAATAAAATTTTATTGCTAATATTTTAAGTTAAATAGGTACTGTACAAGCTCTCTAGTGATAGAAGACCGGGTTTAATGTTTAAATTAGTTGTTCTCGTAGTTTGTCAACTGTAAAGCAAAATTTTGGTTTATATCTTGTAGATTCTTTATTGAATTCGGGTTTATTAATAATAAATAACACATTTATCCTATTTTGCGTGTACTGTACCTACCTATTCTCTAAAGCATATATAATAAATTCTTTTACATGTAATTATTAGTTTGTGAGCTTCTTATACCATAAGATTTGATGGGATTTACTTATTTCTGCAAGTTAGGGCGTCCTTATGCGATGCGAAATTATGTTATTTTTTCGCTTTGTATAATTAAAGAAAAAATGCATAAAATGTACGTGCGTGTGATGTGATTGGTGGAAGAGATATTTGGCAGGTGAAAATTCTGAAAACTTCCTATACAGAAAGACCAAATTATTTCGAAGATTTCGCGTATACAGTAATTGCTAAATTGACTAATTCGCATAATTCTGGACTTATTGCAAGTGATTAATGATAACGAAATATTCATTATTGACAAAAGACGAAACCATTTCATCAGATAACTTTGAGTTGACGAAATGACGAATGATAAATTTTATATGCATTTAATATAATAATGATTCATCAAAATTTAGTGTCTGCAAAACGACAGCATTTAACGATAAACTTTTTAGCATATTCGACATTTCCCGATGATTTGCATTAATCGCCTGGATATGTTCGATAGATACGTGAAAAAGAACTAGTAAAAAAAAAAAAATTATTCAAATGTGAAGTAAAATTAATTTTTATATGAATCCATTAGCTTGTATTGGTGTTTTTTTTTTTTTTTTTTTTTTTTTTTTTTTTTTATTAAAGGATGGTATCTTTTGCCTAGATCTTTTATTACATATATTATAATTACAAATTATGTAGTAACTATAGTACAGCTAGTAAGACTATCTAACCCTATTTTTAGTATATATCAGAATTTTCTATACTATTATGTTATGTTTAATATATTCTCTATATACTATATAAACTATCAAATTAGTGGGATTTTTTTGCTGTTATATCTAAGTATTCCCAATTGGAGTCACTTAAAACTATGTGCATTATATGACATAGAGTCAATAAAATTGTTTGTTTTGATTAACACAGATCAGCCTAACAAAGAAAAAAAAGTAAAAAATGTCAAAAATACAAGAAACAAGTGTTTAAACCTACCTTGGAACATTAATAAAAAATGTTGAGAAGACAGTTTTACTAAAAAATCTACTTTCACCTTAACTTTACACCAACTCTTATCTTAACTTCAACTAAAAAATCAAAAATATATAACTGCATATAGCTTTAAGCATCTTCCCAATTTGGTGTATACATCTATCTATATATAGAATCCTACTCAGGTGAATCTTCAGATTGCTTTTCTAATCATTTAGCTGATTTTCATACCCTTTCAGTGATAGACTTATTATTTGAGTATATATACAGTATATCTATTTATATATTTTTCAAATTGGTATAAACCTGAATATAAGCATAATTCTAACCAGTAAAGCTACTTCTAATTGAGTTTTGTATAACAATATTACTTTCAACTTATGGTTGTATTAGTTGGTGTTTTAGAATTGGTGTATCTATATTGGTTTTGTGTTTTATTAGAGACTTTCAATTAGATATGACTTATACCAATAATATGTGAGTCTTTTACATGTATACAGATATTTTGTAACATCTTTCTATACTAACTATTTCATATAATATAATTTGCCAGAGATGTTTTTATTTGGTTAGACTAATTCTTTACTACAGATCTCTTTATGTTTATCACTTTTCTCACTACTCTAGTTGTATAACAGTTGTATTATCTTTTCGAATCAAGATCCCAAGACTGCTTTAGAGTTGTTAGTACTACTTTTCTACCTGCAAGATTTACTTGCATAACCTTTCTGTCATCAAACCTTCTGTAATGCCGCTATTACACATAATACCTTTCTTCTTCATAATAGATTTCCTTCTAGAAATTCCTAAAACAAATTCATACTTTACTTGGACTTTCACAGGGTTTTGCATTTAAATATTCTAGAAACCACTTCTAGTAAGACTTGAACCAAAGACTTTGGCTGTAAGATAGACATTTAGACCACTAAGCTATAGGGCCCTAACTCAGCTTGTATAGTATTAACTTGTTTATAACGAATTTACTATTTGATATAAAAAAGATTATCAAAAAATGAACAAAAAGCAAAATTTAAAATATTCAGAGATTACTATAAAGAAACTTATTGAAAGAAAAGCAACTGTATTTTTAAATTTTATTGATCAAATTAATTTCATTAATAATTTTATCAATTATCAGCAATTTTATCAATTGTCAAAATTTCATTAAATGAAACTATTGACAAAATCATTTCATCATTCATTATTACAAAGATTGCATCTGATCTTGAGATCTTTAGAAAAATTTTCTATTTTCTGCTAATTGCAAATTGTTATTTCATTAAAAACATATAAAATTTTGACTAGCATTAGGATTTAGTATAAAAAACATGATATAGTAAAATTTGGCTAAGAATTTTTTTTTGTTACAGTACAGGACAGCAAAAAATATCTAATTTTTTAACAATTGTCAAATGTCTAATAACTTTATAACAAATAATTATTTTAAAAATCCCTTTTACAGATTTATTATTTATAACTTAAACTACAAATTTGTAAGACTGATTTTTAATATCTTACTTTTTACAAAAGTTATAAGGGATCAAAGTTTGGTAATTTTATTAGTAAAACAGAAATTTGGTGCAAAGAAATTAACTAATCATATTTAGTACAAATCACATGCTAGCAATTTTATTGGTTAATGCTTATTATTAAAAATTAAAAATTTGGCGTTTACTATATAAAAAAAAAGTTTATATATTTTTTTTAACCAATTAAAATTTCTTATATAAAATTAGCTAATCAAAATTGATTAAATAATTGTAGATTTGGTGCTTTGTATAAAAAAATTAGATGTTTTTTGCTATCCCGCACTGTAGAATATAAAAGGTGATTTCTTAGTAAGTTACTAGCAGATGTTTAGAAAAAGCTTTCAATTTTATATTATACAAATATTACACCTATTCTTGCGATCTATATAGAAATTTTTTTTTTTTAGATTGGTATCACTTGCAAAAATAAGTATTATCTGTAATTTGTATAATGAATCTTGGTTATTGTTTACTAATTTAGCAATTAAAAAGTATGCACAAACATATGCAAGAGTGGGATACCACCTATAATATAATTATATTATAGATGGTATCCCACTTAGGTCAGATTATATAATCTAGATACCACTATATAATCCAAATATCATTATATAATCTAGATATCTCTATATAGTTTGAATAACATTATATAATCTAAGCACTACTATATGATCTAAATAATATAATCTAATAAACACTATATAACATAAACATATAATCTAATTACTATTATATAATCTATATATTTTCTATATCAGATATCTATTTTATATTCTGGCTATCTCTTTGAACTCTTTCTGATATTTATATTTTAACACCATATGATCTAACTATCACCCACTATTTAATCTAACTATCAGTATGTGATCTAAATACTGCTATTTCCTTCTTGTTTCTAATCCATTTATATGTCAAATTCTATATTATTTATACTGGCCTTCTATACCTGTTTGGATATCTGGTTGGGGGTACTGCCCCTCTGTACCTGTTTGGGTACCAAATTATATATCGAAGTGCTTATCTTTTTGTATCTGTTTGGTTGCCTTTCTAGATGCCGAAGTGGTATAAAAAATATTATGTCAGGTGGCACAATAGATAATTTACGTGCATAAAAAGCATTCTTTTTCAAGTAAGTATAAAGACCTCTTACTCTAAAAAGGTTTAGCTGTTCCCATATCCTGTTTTTCCATTCAATGGGTTATTTGCTTCGCTTTGGATCCCGGTTTGGGGTCTACTTTATTATTGAGGATGCGGGTCTTGATGCTTTTTTTTTTTTATTACAAAAAAAAAATCGTGTCAGATAGCCCATTTGTCTGCTGAGGTGAGACCGGTATAGCACATATGAGGTGCTAGTGTTGTGCTATCCTTGGCTAGTACACTATCCTGCCTTTTATGACCTGTTCGATAGTACCGAATTGGTGACCTACTCAAATATAACTTTTTTTCTTTCCTTTATATAATTCTGCTTGAATGGGTCACCATCAATTCTCTCATTTTTAGCTTCTCGACCCTTTCGATTGCTGAGGTTGGTGGGACGCCAAGTTATATTTTTTTTATTTCTTTTTCTATATATTATTCTAACTTGGCATCCTACCAAAATTTTACTATTTTTTCACTCTAGTTTACCTTCTCGTATAGTTAATATTTTAGAATACTTTCATATTAATCTTTTTTGAATCTTATTTTACTGATTTATCAAAGATCTCTTTTAGGTACCTCTATCGATTACTTTTGGGTCTCACTATATCGATTATTTTTGAATTCTACATATTGCTAA